TAAGGATTGGATACTATTTCTGTCTTTTCACACTTCTCTTGCTAATGTTCAGTGGGCTTCTGAGATCCGATATAAATGTACAGGCGATGTGGAAACTGATTGAGAGGCAGATTTATATTAAAAATTGTATACATATATTTACCACCAGTTTTAATGATGCAATTTCTGTGAAGATCAGTTGCTTAAAATGAAACAGACTTGAGAACATATTACTTAAAAATCGTATCATGTGTCTTTTTGCTTCACATTTAAACCGGAAAACAAAAACCTATATTCACTATTAGTAATAACGCTTAGAAAAGAGGTAAATGATTTTGTCCACAGCTCCCAAATCAGTAGATTATGGTGGTAAGCCTCAGTGAGTTCTAAACCATTTGCCAATGAGCAGCACCCACCAACTTCCCTCCCCCTGCCGAACGTACACTTCCCTCCTGTCTGATTTATAGAGACACTTTGTTAGAGAGATAGTAATGAAGCCAGCTGCTGTGTCTTTCTACAGCCCACTGCACCCCTCCCTCACCTCATTCCCCAGAACAGTTACTGTCAACACCCTGGGGACATTAGCAGAGAGCTCCCAACAGGAAGTCTGGGGACGCTTTTTGATTCCATGACCATCTTTCACTTCCTCCTTGAGTCCTCATTCTCACTTTGGTAGCCACCTCCTGCCCTGCCTGCTACCAGAGCGACAAGAGAGGAGTAAAGAAACCAGTAGCAAGATTTCAGTACTTAGAGCACTTTAATGGTACTTCAGGAAAATAAGAGATAAACCAGAAACCAGGCTTAATAATCATAATAAGAATTCCAGAAGCCATCTCCTACCACTTTGTGATAAACACACAATCTCACTTAATTCCTCCCTCAGATGGTCTGAAGTCAGCCTGAAGGTGGAACCAAAACAGACTATTATGAACACTTAGGCCATAAAAGCTTCAAAGTGAAGTGAAATTCTAGTGTACCTTTCCCAGGCTTGGTACTACCCTTCATACTGGGGATGCTCCGCCTGGCTGACTTCTACTCATCTTCCAAGTCTCATCACAGATGTGGTATCTTTCAGGTAACTTCCACCTTAGCCTCTCTATAGACACCCTCTCAGGTGCACTCCCCTGTTTCCCTGACATTTCTCTCACTGCAGTTACCACAATCTATTGCCCATCTAGCCAGTTGGACCATTTATTTTTTGAGAGTAGGGAATGCAACTCGTTCAGCTCTATAGTCTCCAATCGTATTTTTCTCCCTTGTGTATAGTAACTGCTCCAAAAAAGTTTTTTGAATGAATGAATGAATGCTGAAGAGATACTATAATTAATGAAAAGAAACTGGTTGAAGTGTATAGAAGAAAGAGATTTTGGGTAGAATTTTAAAGACTGCAGTGTTTAGAGTAAGAAGATAGGTTGCCATGTGGAAATGAAGACGTAAAAGAGTTACATGCAGAAAGTTGTATTTCATTTTGTTTAGCTAAGTTCTGACTTTCAGAAAATCAAGAAATACAGGGAACCAAATAACAGAGAAAACAGCTGATGGACAGGTAGTTTGAAGCCACTGTGCAAAGGAATTTAGTCATGACAGGAGTTACTAACACCACATAGAGTCTGGATGCGCCGTGCATCTTGGAAGCTCAATGTGTGCTAGATTGTCTTGCAAGCTCACAGATCCCAGGGGAGTTATGGACACACTAGAAAGGAATAAAGAAAACCTTTGGCTCTAGGTTTCATTTGCAGCTGCCTTATTCAGTTATACTTCTGATAGCAAAAATGAACCTGCTCTGGAAGTCTACATTTCTCCTTTATCCCTTGGAAAATAATATTCAATTTCATACAAGTATCTTCACATTTTCATTAAATTGTCAATAGCATCAGAATATATTCCTGTTTTCACTTTTTGTTAATTTTTATTTTTTGTGAGAATTATCACTAGCTTCTTCATCAGCTGGTGGGCAGAATGGTGTGATACCCCTAAAAATTCCTTTTGTCTTACAGTCGTCTTTATTCTTCCATGAAACATTTTTGAGAGCGGTAACTCTATTTTCTCCTATGTAGACACACACACCCTTCTATGTCGTTGGTGATGCATCTTTAGTATCCTCTGTAACAGCCTGCAGTGGAGTTTTTAAAATCTTCACTCTTCACAGGTGTTGCCACCATGTTGATGAAGAAGACCCCAGGAATAATCTCTGGCACCAGAAGAGCTAGCCAAAAACCTGCCTTGCTTCTTCAACAGTCTTCTCAACCCTACTCTATATAAAAATATTTGGCCCTTTCTATCTAATGTATTATCTTAAGGAATTTGCTATTATTCCGCCATGGGGAGGAAAAAAAAAACCTCACTCTTCAAGATGTTACTTTGTTTACTCTATTTAATTATTTAAGAGGATTCTTTAAGCCCTTACCACCAACCTTTACAGCTCCACACAGAAGCAAAGCTAATTCAGAAGGCTGAGGATCTTTATGCAAATTGAGGTTTTTCAGAGCTGAAAGGGGCACATGCCAGCTTCAGGGCATGAGGGGGCTGGATAGCTCATGTGGTAGGGGATTTTGGTCACAAACACGGAGTCATTTGATGAACATGTAAACTGATATTAATAATACAGCATTAATTTATTGCTTCTGCACATTATTCCTAATACAGACTTGCTGACTTGTACATGTATAATACATAAACACATCCATAAAAGTTTAATGCCTTCGAGTAGTACATTCACCCGCAACACTGCCTGATGACACATTTTCACTCTTCTTAACACTGCTTCCTGAAAGAGTCAACATGATGTCAAGGTGACAGAATTAAGAATGACACCAGAGGAATGGTCAGAAAATTAACTTTCACTATGCAGCCATAAAAAAGGATGAGTTCATGTCCTTTGCAGGGACATGGATGAAACTGGAAACCATCATTTGCAGCAAACTGACACAAGAACAGAAAACCAAACACCACATGTTCTCACTCATAAATGGGTGTTGAACAATGAGAACATGTGGACACAGGGAGGGGAACATCACACACTGGGGCCTGTTGTGGGTTGGGGGGTGCAGGGGGGAAATAGCAGGGGGTGGGGGATTGGGGAGGGATAACATTAGGAGAAATACCTAATGTGGGTGATGGGAGGATGGATGTAGCAAATCACCATGGCATGTGTGTACCTATGTAACAATCCTGCATGATCTGCACATGTACCCCAGAACTTAAAGTATAATAAAAAAATAAAAATATGAAAATTTACTTTTAAACTTTTGTGTTAGATGTTTGGATAGACATTCAGTAAAATGTGTGGCAATCACGAATGTGTCTTTAGTTTATTTCAAAAACTGAATCCTGAATTATCAATTGAGCAGCAGAACCTGTCTATACTCCAAAAGAAAATTACATTAAATTTAAAAAGCCATTATGAAGATTGCCTTATGGTAAAGAACAGATTTTTTGGCTAAAAGCGTTTTGCATCATTTGACAGAGTATAGTCAATCTTAAACAAAAACTCCAACTTACACATTCTTTTTAAAATACAAAGACAGAAAGCTGAGTAGATGAAGAGTGATGACTTTTTGCGGGTTCTGAGCCCCGAAGTTTTGGGCCCACACTATTCCTTCCTATTGCCTTGTCAGAGAAGCTGAGGCAAGGTCTCTCTTTTATCTGACTCTCAGATTTCTGAGTATAATAGACTCTCAATTTCTTATAGGAAAGTTAGAACACATCAGAAAGACATTCCAAATCATTCCAAATCAAATGAAGGTCACCATTTGATGACTGGAAACTAGCCCCTCCATCGTTTGTTTGGATTTTCTTTTTTTTTTTAAAGGCGTTAGAATACATTCAGCTTTTTCTGCTTCTGTGTGTCCGTTGCAGAAATGGAAGTTGGAACTAGCCAACTCCATCAGTTGTCTACCCCAAACAGTCTCTGAAATTTCTGTTCCTCTCTGGATAGTGGATGTTCAGTCATTTTGCAGCACTCATCTCAGCTCTAATAACAACTCTATTATGGCCCTGTGGCCTTTTTCCTAACATTTATTTTCAGGTTTGCCATGTGTTGGGCATCCATAACAGCCGGGCTGACTGTCACTTTGTGGCTCCAAAGGCGTCGGCAGTGAGAGAGATCTGGACTCTTGCAAAGTATGATGGAATTGGCTGGATTTCATGTGGCAAGCTCAGATGATGGTCCTTTGTCCAGAGCAGGCATGACAGAAATGGAAATGCTTGATACAGGTCCTGTTTTCTAAGAACATGTAAAGGACAACTTATGGTGATTTGGGGGAGTAAAGAGCAACTTTTTCTTGAACTTAAATCTCTATCGATTAGGTAGGCAGCTTGCTTTACTGGGAGTTTTCATGGGGCCAATATTTGTAAAGAAATGTATTGCTCAAGTGAAGCAGGATCTAGCTTATGACTGAAACTTACATTTGGATAACACCTTAACAGCATATCTTCTTTTGAATCAATTATAATCACATTCTGCTGGAATCCAGGTCTAATATTTCTTTATAGAAATTTTAGAATCACCTGCTTAGGGATAGATGTATACATTAACTGGGTATATCAGTGATTAACAAATTAATAGATATTGCCTCTTCTATTTTTACTTAATAACTATTTGCATAATAACTGCACTTTTATTATATCAGATTGGGATTTTATCACTTTAAAAGGATATGTGAATACCCCTAAAAATTTGTTGTGGGAAAAAAGTAATGATAATTTATTCAGTTTCAGTATTTGGATAGCTAATAAGGAGAGCAACCACCTTTAGGTAAACATTCTATTCGATTGAGACTGTTGAGAGCAATCTATAGACAATATATCCATTTGCTGATCACTGGTGCATAACTGATGCCCAAGATGCAAAATGGATTACCATGACTTAAACTCTCAGAAATATTTTGATTTGGGCAATTTTTCAGGATAGGCAGCTGTCTACATGACACCTCCACTTAACTATCCCATAGATCTTTCAAATGGGTCATGTTCACGGCAGAATTCTTGACTTCTCAATTCCTCCAAAGCTTACTAGATCTGGCTCCTCCTCTTAGATGGCATCATTTATGTTGAGATGCTTGAACTACAACTTGGATATCATTCTTGATTCTCTTTTTTTAACCATATGCCCTATTAAAGGAATGGAAAAGCAAAAGGTGATATCAGTTCTATCTTCAAAATATATCCTAAATCTAAGCATTTCTCAATATCTCCTTTTTTTCACCCTTGTCCAAGCCATGATCATGTCACAGCTGGCTTGCAAGGGCTCCTAACTGATCTCTCTGTTCTCCCATTGCTCATTGCTAGTCAGTTCTCTACACAGCAGCTGGAGTGGCAATTATTTCATAATGTGTATCTGATTATAGTGCTTCCCTGATCAAAACCCTCCAATGCTTTCTTATCACGTTTATATCTACTACGTCCTACAAGATTTTCCCCTGTTTCCCTAAACACATCGCCTGTCACTCTTCTCCCCATTTACTTCAGATGTGCTGAGATTAGCTCCACCTCAGTGCCATTGCACTTTCTATTCCTTTAGGCTGGAGTGTCTTCTCTCTGTTGCTTTGCCTGGCTCATTCCAACACTTAATTCAGGCTTCTGTTAAAATATCATTTCCCCATGGAGCCCTCCCTCGACAATCTTTTCAAACTGCCTTCCCCTGATTTCCACATTGTCTCCCCATTTCCCTGATTCATTTCCCTCATAGTACTTATCACAGTTAGGGTGCTCTGGAGACACAAAACCGGTAGAATACATCTATGTATGAATGTGTAAATTTACTTTAGGAAATTGGCTTATGCAATTGAGGGGTTTGACAAGTTTGCAATTTGTAAGGTAGTCTGGTAGGCTGTCAACCCAGGAGATTTGTGTGTTGTGGTCTTAAGACAGAGTTCCTTTTTCCTCTGGCGCCACCTCAGTTTTTGTTTTTAACACCTTCAACTAATTGAACGAGGCCCACCCACATAATCAAATATAATATCCTTTATTTATAAACAACCAGCTGAAGGTGTTAATCATGTTTACAAAATTTCTTCACATCAATATCTAGACTACTGTTTGGCCAAATAACTGGGTATCATTGCCGAGCCAAATTGTCACATAAAATGTAACCATCACAGTACTTACCACTTTGTGGCATTAGACAGGCATTGATTGATTTGTTTGTACTGTCTCTTTCACTAAATACAAAGGCCATGACAGCAAGAAGACTGGTTCAACACCATATTCCAGTCCCCATAATAGTACCTGACACACAGTAAACACTGGATAAATTAATAAATCTGGCTTTTCTTCTCCTACATGAAATAACCTCTTTAGAACAGAGTCACAGACATTCAACAAAGAGATATCAACTACTGAGAAGTGACAGACAATAGCCCTTCAGATGTGCTGATATGTACTTGTTAAATTTCTCAGGGTGAGCAGGAGACATGATAATTGTCAATTCTGAGACAGGAAACACTGACCACTGATAAGAAAGAGCTAGCCAATTTCAACCAACCAATGTATATAATTCCAATAGCAAGTATTTAATTTCCCTGTGAGAGAAGAAAACTCATGTTGGAAGTTATTTTTGTGTTTTGCAAAGTACTAAGCAAATTGTATAGCAAATTATAATTCAGAATAAAAGTGTAGCACATCAAGATACCTACTCACATACTAAAGTTTTAACTTTATTTTAACTTTGACTTTTGAGGACTAATTTTATAGTTTGATATAGAAGTTTTAAGAATTTTATATATATCTTCGTGAAAGGATTTTTTGTTTTATATATATATATCTTCGTGAAAGGATTTTTTGAGTTAATTTGATTGAGTGAGAGGAGATGAAAATGACAAACATCAAAAGACTCTGGAGTTTTAGGCTGAGCACCTGGTGGGATGTAGAACATAATATAAACTGGAGACAGAGTTGGATGGGTTGGAGACAACACATTTTTCAAATTGTGATATGGGTTTGCTCAGAGAAGAGTAAGAAAGTTAGGCTTCCCAAACTACAGAAAGACATAAGTTTATTTGATCTTTATAGTTATTAAGATATTTTGCGAAACTGGACCTACAGCCTTTCTAGACTTTGGGATTTAAGAATGCAACCAACATTTTGGATTTGGGAAATCTTATGGATATCTTTCAACTTTCAATATGTAGTCATGTGAGATTTATGGATTTCAATATTCTACCATATTTAACTTTGTAGTCCCCAGTCCTAGCTGTTTACAAATATCTTTTTTGCATTTATCATCCTACTTGAGCCTTATGACAACTCTTTGAGGTAAGCAAGACAAGAGTATTACCCCTATTTCACCAAGATGGAAACTGAGGCTCTGGGCAACTTACCCAATAGAGGTCACACAGCTAGGAAGTGATGGCATTAGGATGTAAAGCTAGTCTTAGGAACCTTTCAAACCCCACTGTTCTGCCTCCTTTCTAGTGAGAGCCAAGATTATCAGGTCTAAACCTTTTGGCTGTTGAATACTAAATGATAAGTGAGTTGGTCAATCTATTAACTGGGCTGCTGGGTATTTTCCCAGTGATATATCCAAGAGTTTTCTTGGTACATAAAAAAAAATTGTTTTCCTAAGCCTTGTAACATTTTAGAGAATGCTTTATTCTCGCGGAATGTGTGAATCAGTTCTTGCATTCTGTATCACATACTTCTTATGTTAACTTATCATGTGTACTGTGACTACTTTTCTATTTCTCATAGAGGCACAAGGAAATAATTTTCCCCAAGAGTAACAGTTTTTCCAATGATCAATTCCATTTTTCCTTTGAAGTTTATTTCATCAGATGTTTTTCTGTTTTGTTTTTGTTTGTTTTGGTCTATTATTTCCTTTGACTTTGTACAACTAGTCCTGGCATGGTTTTTTCACACCAACTGATTAAAGAAATACATTTTACTCCATACCCATAACACTTTGGGGTTGCTTTTCTCTTTTCCTGAGCTGTTTTGCTTGTTATAGAGAGACACACAGACACACACACACACACACACACACACACACACACACACACATAAATGCTCTATATAACAAAAACAATTTATTGATAACTTTGTTATTGATAGCACTAATAAACTCAGTGTTATCAATAACACTAATAAATTTTTCTTGTTACAGAGAGCACTATATATATATATATATATATATAGTGTCCAATTTATAACTTTATATACAGTTATCAGTTACAGTTGTCCAATTAATATCAACTTGGATGCAATATTTGATATACGTTTTATTTGATACAAATCAGAACAACTCTCAATTTGGCAAAAATTGAAACAATAATATCAATCACTAGTGAAATTGGAAGAGAGCAGAAAATCTCCTCTACTGCTGGTAGACAATGTATTAGTACAACCTTTTTGAAAACAGTTTGGTAATAACATATCAAAGATTTTTTTAATTGCATACCCTGTAACTTTTCCAATTCCATATTTAGAAATCTATTTGAAATATTTAAGAATTTGTGCAAAGGCTTAATTATATGACTATTCAATAAACATTGTTTTGAAGAGTAAAAATTTGGAAGTAACCTAAATAGCCAATATTAAAAGATTTGTTAAATACATGATGGTACATCCTGACTCCAGATTATTGTCCATCCATTCATTTAAGAAAGAAGTTGAAGAAAAAAATACATAATACTATAGAAAGATTCAAGATATACTTTAAAATTTAAAAATCCAATCAAAAACACTATTTAGAATAGGATCCCACTATTTTTTAAAAGTACATGTAGGCTGAGTGTAGCTGTTCACACCTGTAATCTCAGCACTTTGAGAGGCCAGGGTGGGCAGACCACCTGAGGTCGGGAATTCAAAATCAGCCTGGCAAACATGGTGAAATTCTGTCCCTTCTAAAAATACAAAATCAGCCAGGTGTGGTGGTGCACACCTGTAATCCCAGCTAAGAAGTGTTAGGCAGGAGAATCACTTGAACCCAGGAGGAGCCGAGATGGTGCCACTGCACTCCAGCCAGGTGATGTTATAAAACTCTGTCTCAAAAAAACAAAAAAAAAAAGGAAGAAAGAAAGAACAACAACAAAAAAAAGCACATGTAGGAAAAAAAAAAGACTGGAAAATTATACACAAAATGTTAATGGTAGATGTTCCTGGGATTGAGGCTTATGAATGATTTGTTTTTTCTTATCAATGTTTCTATACTTTTTAGGTTGTTTCTATTACTTTTATTTAAAAAGCAGAAGTTTTTAAAAAGTCACAGACATTTGATTTAATAGGTTCTGATTGGTTACATAGTGATTTGTTCTGGATTATTTCACGGTTTTTTTTTCATTTTGTCATCCAGGACATCTCACAGACCGACTTGAAAGTAACATTTTTTTGAAACCACTAGATTTTTAAAATGACTTTTTATAAGGCCCAAATACCAAGTTCAAAGACTTTTCTTTTTTTTTTGAAACAGGGTCTAACTCTGTGTTGCCCAGACTGGAGTGCAGTGGCGCTATCTCAGCTCACTGCAGACCTTTTTAAATATGTTCCAAACTCACTATTTGCAGATGGTTGGTACAGTTATCATCCCATACAAATAGCTACTATTTTTATTGTAATAATGGTCTTGGGACAGCACATCCTACACCCATTAAGGAAAGAAACTCTTGTAGGTGCATTTGCCAGACATTCTGAAATGATTACATCCAATGGGAGTACAATCGATTTGAACTTGCATGATCAAGTAACTATTTTAATCTTGTTGGATTTGAGGCCATAGAAATACTTTGCAATAGTAGAACTACAAGAATTTGCATGTTTAGAGTTGGGTAACACTAGTAGGATTTTTTACCATCATCGTATATTAAGAGAGCCATGGCCCAGTAGGGCTAAGTGATCCATTCAAAACTCAAACCCAGTTAGTGTCAAAGCCAGCACCTGATTTTAGATCTCTAACTCTTAGCCTAATGCTCTTTCCAGGGTCAGATTTATGTACTAGTCCTTTGCCATACAAGTATATAATCTTGAGCAGGGTAATTAATCCCCCTGAGCCTTGATGTTTTTCTCTGTAAAGAGTGAACAATAATATGTACTTGTAAAGTTGTGGAATAAATTAGACAAGATAATTTAACATAGTACTGTGTCTGGAATGTAGTATGTGTGAATACGTTGTGGATATT